ATAGAAAATAAAATATCCAAAGTACTCTTACTCAGAAACAATTATTAGTAATATTTTCCACATAGTTGAAATGAATGTAGGTTTATTGTTTTATTTATCTAAGATTTACATAATAGTTCTTAACACACCCAAAATGAAATGTGGTTGATGACCTATTTTCACATAAAGAAAAGCTTATTTTGGGTTAAGAATGGTGAGTGTTACAAAAACCTTACAATGCAAGAAGCAATGGCACAGATAAAAAACAACTGAAATATTTCATCATATGACCCAGGGACTCGATAGATATAAGGAAGCTACAAATCATGACTCCTAAAGTCCATATCTAATCAACATCTCAGAGTTTTACAGCAGGACTATAAGCAAAGCACAGTGCTGGGAAACAAAATGAGCAGGTGACAGGAGTCAGCAAACTCTTTTTTTAAAATGGAGTCTTGCTCTGTCGCCCAGGCTGGAGTGCAGGGATGCGATCTCAGCTCACTGCAAACTCTGCCTCCCAGGTTCAAGTGGTTCTTCTGCCTCAGTCTCCGGAGTAGCTGGGACTACAGGCGTTGTGCCACCACACCTGGCTACTTTTTGTATTTTTAATAGAGATGGGGTTTCACCATGTTAGCCAGATGAACTCGGTCTCCTGATCTCATGATCCACCTGCCTCAGCCTCCCAAAGTGCTGGGATTACAGGTGTGAGCCACCATGCTCACTCAGCCAAGTCAGCAAACTCTTAAAAGTCCAGATAGTATTTTAGATTTTGCAGGCCATTTGGTCTCTATTTCAGCTCTCAAATTGTAGCTCAAAAACAGTCATAGACAATGCATAAATGAATAAGCATGACTGTGGTCCAATCAAATTTTATGATTTATACAAACAGATACTACTCCTCAAACAGGATATCAAGTAGCATGGTAGTCTATGCTATGTATCCATCTAAACAGACACAGCCATTAACTTCTCTAATGGTGTCCCCTTTGGTCATGTGAAAACTGTGAAGCATCAAACACTGATAATTCAAAGGCCAGAAGCCCTTCAGGCTACTTGCTATTTTACAAACCTAGAAAACACACAAGAGTAGAGAAGGGACAGAACTCTGGACAGCCAGATCCAAAGAAATGACAGAGTAACCATCCCTAGACACCCACCTCTTCCGCAGAGCTGTTGCCAATTCACCAACCAAATCCCGATGAGGCCCCACATCCTTGGAGTTCCAGTTCCAAGACACAGGACTAGGCCAGTTTGTGAAGCCTTCATGATGCTTTGTTGTCAAAACTACATACCTGTGGACAGTAAAACCACATGAGAAAAGGAAGTGGGCAGTGAACTTGAATGAACTTGCCGAGCATGCCTGAGGCTTTTTAAATGGCTGAAAGAACTTGATCACAACAAATGTACTTGTACCAGTGACTATTAGTGATATCCAGGAAGCTGCTGCAGTCACAATTCCCCTAATTGCTCCAAGAATGACAGCAGATTTGAGGAAGTCCCAGTCCTCCGTCCCCAGTGAAGGAGGAGGCCCAGAGAGAAGGAAGGAGTAGGTGAGGGAAAAGAAGTGCACCTTAGCTCTCTGATTCTTCAACACTTCTGGTATAAATGATTAACTTTCTTCCACCCTTTGCCTTGAAGGAGAAAGATCTCTACTGTCTCTACTGGAAATGGCAGATGACAGAAAACTAAGTTGTTTGCTGGCCAGGCACGGTGGCTCACACCTGTAATCCTAGCACTTTGGGAGGCCAAGGCAGGCAGGCAGATTACCTGAGGTCAGGGGTTCAAGACCAGCCCGGCCATTCTCACCTCTGAGGCCTTAAAAAACTGGCAGAGGACCAATCCCTCTGGCCAGTTTGCAGACCCCTCCCTTTCCCTGTTAGAGACATTAGGTCTGAAAGGAATTGACACAATCCCTTTCTGTAACTATACAAGATGCTGCAGTGACTTGTCCAAGTTCACAGTTGAACAAGGACCAGGCTCCATACCGCTGATTTGAAACCCTGGAGTCCTGATGGTGCTATCAATCTGGAAGGGGCATCAGGTATGGCCTAGTCCAGCCCTCTCGGTGCACAGGTGTAGATACCGAGGGCCTCCCAGCCCGCCATCCCCCTGAACCTTCATTTTTCAGTCCCCAGCGAGACGCACCTCCTCCTTCTCATCAGGTGTGCCACGCTCACTCCTGCAGCCGCAGGAGGTCACACGCGGGCCCTGGGGTCGTGGAGGCGACCGGCAGCTGCGCGCCCGGGCTGGCTGCCCAGCCCTACCTCCCGTCTGCCGCCCGAGCCGGGAAGGGGTGTCGCCCCCCGCGACCACACTCACTTGGCGCCCGCGGCCTGGAAGAGGTCGGCCCACTCCTCAGGGTGGAAGAAGCGCGCGGTGAACTGCGGCCCGAAGTCGGCGTAGCTGAAGCCGGGCGGGTAGTTGTCGCGCATGAAGCGCTGGTACTCCGGCCGCCCCTCGCCCCGCCAGTGCCACCAGAACCACTCGCTGCCCCAGGCGGGCACCGAGAACACGCCCCAGTGCACGAACACCCCGAACTTGGCCTCGTCGAACCAAGCCGGCAGCGGCCGAGAGTCCAGGCTCGGCCAGTCCGGGGTGTAGCGGCGCGGTGGCCGGGCCCGACGCAACGACTCGGCGGCTCCGAGGAGGAGGAGGAGGAGGAGGAGCAGCAGCAGCAGCGCGGGACCCGCCGGCCGCGACCTCACCCCCGAAGCCCGCATCGCTGCCAGGCGGCGACGCGGCCCACTCCCAACCCGCAGCTACCCGGCGCGCGCTCCGCCCACTCTGGCTAACGATTGGCCCGGAAGGAAAAAGGGGCGGGACAACCCGGACTGTTTGGCCCGAGTCGCTTCCTCTTCGGGTTGGAGGAGCGCCCTCTGGTGCTCAAAGTGGGAAAAACGCAGGGAGGCGTTGACAGCGCTTCACTGAAGGACGAATAAAACCTTGAAAAGGGACTTAACTGCGAGGTTAAATCGGGGAGGTGAGGAAGGCCCAGTGTGTGCGGAGACCTCACATTTAAGAAGTCCATTGAACCGGGCGCAGAGGCTCATGCCTGTAATCCTAACACTTTGGGAAGTCGAGGCGGGAGGATCGCTCTGAGCGATCAAGACTAGCCTGTCACTACAAAAAATAAACAGGCTGGGCGCAGTGACTCACGTCTGTAATCCCAGCTCTTTGGGAGGCCGAGGCGGGCGGATCACCTGAGGTCAAGAGTTCGAGACCAGTCTGACCAACATGGAGAAACCCCGTCTCTACTAAAAAAAACAAAACAAAACAAAATTACCCGGGCGTAGTGGCGCATGCCTGTAATCCCAGCTACTCCGGAGGCTGAGGCAGGAGAATCGCTTGAGCCCGCGAGGCAGAGGTTCCAGTGAGCGAAGATCGTGTCATTGCACTCCAGCCTGGGCAGTAAGAGCAAAACTCCGTTTAAATAAATAAACAAAATGAGCTTGGCGTGGCGATGCAAGCCTGGAGTCCCAGCTATTCAGGAGGCTGAGGTGGGGTACTCTGGATTTCTTGAGCCCGGGAAGTGAACTGAACAGTGATAACGCCTCTGGAGTAGTCCATTTTGCTGTAACAATCCTGCAGGGTTAGGCTGAAGTCAGACCACGAGTTTCATTTAGTGATCACTTAAGGAGCCACAGGGGGCTTTTGAGTTGTCCTGTAGCACAAGGCTGGAGGCAGGGACACCAGACTGGAAGGATATCTAACAGCTCTGACAGAAATAAGGAGGTAGAGGGATGATGAGAGGAAACATGAGGGGAGAGGAGGGAGAAAAGTGGGTACTGAAAGAGGGGGAGCAGGTGTGACCGTTTCATCTGTCAGGTACTTACTGAGCTTTCTTTGGGAATTCTGAGGCATTTCAAATAGCTTAGCTTCTACTTGGGAAAAGAAGACCCATGCACAGGTCTCCACAGAGGACAATTTTTAGAAAACCAGGGGCAGAAAGTAGAGAGCCTAGCTGGGCATGATGGTGCACGCCTGTAATCCCAGCTACTCAGGAGGCTGAGGCAGGAGAATTGCTTGGACCTGGGGGGTGGAAGTTGCAGTAAGCCAAGATCATGCCATTGCACTCCAGTCTGGGCAACAGAGCCAGACAATGTCAAAAGAAAGAAAGAAAAAAAGAGAGAAAGAGAGAAACAAAGAGAGAAAGAAATGAAGGAAGGGAGGGAGGGAAAAGAAAAGAAAAGAAAGTGGAGAGCCAAGAGGACCCCCTGACGATTGCCTGGCAGGGAAGTTCTCCATTACCTTTACAATGTGTACATGCTGCACATGCTAAAATGGGAGGCGAGGCCATCAACGAGGGAAATACAGAAGTCAGAAGTCTCTGACTGGGCGTGGTGGCTCACACTTGTAATCCCAGCACTTTGGAAGGCCGAGATAGGCGGATCACCTAAGGTCGTAGTTCGAGGCCAGCCTGACCAACATGGTGAAACCCCATCTCTACTAAAAATACAAAAATTAGCTGGGCATGATGGTACATGCCTGTAATCTCAACTACTGGGGAGGCTGAGGAAGGAGAACTGCTTGAACCCGGGAGGTGGATGTTGCAGTGAGCTGCGATAGAGCTACTGCACTCCAGCCTAGGCGACAGAGCCAGACTCCATCTCAAAAAAAAAAAAAAACACCAAAAAGGAAAAAAAAAGAAGAAGTCAGAAGTCTCATGACCCCACGTGGCACACTCAGTTTCCATGCAGGTGAGAGAATGGCAGCATGTCAGAGTTGGAAGGGACTTTGGAGATCCTAGGCCCCGTCCTCTTCCCTACCCTTCCATTGTACACAGAAGGGAACTGAAGCCCAGAGAGCGCTAGGGGTTGCCCAAGGTCATGCAGCTAGTTTGGGTCAGAGGTGGGACTAGAATCCAGGTTTCCAGGCATGAAATTTATGCCTTTGTTCATGCTGCTTCTTTCTTGCACCTCATGAGAAGTCAGAGCCTATGTTGACAGAACCCAGCACTTCCTCATTTGTCAGTGACAAGGAGAGACAATGACTATTGCTGAATCACAGCTATTTTCTTTTTCTTTTTTTTGAGATGGAGTCTTGCTTTGTTGCCCAGGCTGGAGTGCCACGACGTGATCTTGGCCCAGTGCAACCTCTATCTCACAGGTTCAAACGATTCTCCTGCCTCAGGCTCCCAAGTAGCTGGGATTACAGGTGCATGCCACCACGCCCAGCTAATTTTTATTTTTTTAATAGAAACGGGGTTTCACCATGTTGGCCAGGCGGGTCTTGAACTCCTGACCTCAAGTGATCTGCCAGCCTTGGCCTCCCAAAGTGCTGGGATTATAGGCATGAGCCACTGCACCCAGCCCACAGCTATTTTCTTTATCTTCTGTTTCTTCTTCTGCTAGATTTTGTCACAATATTGTCCAAAACAGTAAGCATGAACACCTTAGGAATAAAGCCAAACCCATCCACACACATTTTCTAGTAATCAGTTTCCATGGTGGTCTTTGATGTTTCAGAGCTTGTCTTGGGGAAGATAAAATGGGACATTGCGATCTTCATTTATTTCTGTTTATCCACATAACCAAAAGGTGAACCTGCAGGGACAGGTGGGAGGCACTGATGTAAAGTGGTCAGAACTGGAAGTTAGGAAACCTGGGTTTGTGGCACTGGACACCACCTCATTTGTCTCCTTGCGCAAGTCTGTCCACTGTCTGGGCTCATTTCCTCAACCAAACAACAATGACAGTTCTCAGTGATATCTAGGTCCCTTTTGCACCCTTGCTCTCCTCCTCCATAAGCTCTGCTTCTCTACTTAAAGCAGAAATAGAAGCTGGGCATGGGCCCAAGCCTGTAATCCTAGCACTTTGGGAGGTTGAGGTGGGTGGATCACTTGAGGTCAGGAGTTCAAGACCAGCCTGGCCAACATGTCGAAACCCTGTCTTTACTAAAAATACAAAAATTAGCTGGGTGTGGGGTCATGTGCCTGTAATCCCAGCTACTTGGGAGGCTGAGGCAGGAGAATTGCTTGAACTCAGGAAGTGGAGGTTGCAGTGAGCCAAGATTGCACCACTGCACTCCAGCCTGGGCAGCAGAGTGAGACTCTGTCTCAAAAAAAAAAAAAAAAAAAAAAAAACAGAAATACAGGAATATAGTGTGGCTGTAAAATGAGAGAAGTAGAAAGTGTGGAGGTACATTTAATTAAATGATTTTTAGAATCCAGTTTTATTCATTCAAGAAATATTTACTCTTTGGTTCAATTCATTCACTTCAGAGAACAAAAAAAGAAAAAGAAAAAAAAAGAAATATTTACTTAGTGTTCATTTGTGCCAGACACTTGGACATTTTCTCTGCTAAAATGAGAATGGACTTCACAGATGAAAAAATAAAGGCATGCTTCAACTTTAAGGAATTGCAATATATAAACATGCAAATTCACCTTTAAACGTTTATGTCATTTCTTTGCCTTACAAAAAGATTGGTGTCTGGGTTAAAATGAAATTTGATTTTCCAAAACATACTTCAGAGCTTTTCAGAAACAGTTCAGTTCCACAGATATTGACCAGATCCCTTCCGATTCTTTGCTGGGTTCTGACTGAGCACTGGGGTAAACCTGGAGCTCATCTCCTGGGGGGAGAGTAAACTAGTGACTGCCACTCAACACAGCCCAGAGGGTGGACCTTGTTCCTAGGTCCATACTGAGTTGAATAGTGTCCCTCTAAACTTCTTGTCCACCTGGAATCTGTGAATGTGACCTTATTTGGAAATGGTCTCTGTAGATATAATTAGTTAAATTAAGATGAAGTCATACTAGATTAGAGTGGGCCCAAATCCAGTGATTGGTGTTCTTAAAAAAAGGCCAGGTGTGGTGGCTCACATCTGTAATCCCAGCTCTTTGGGAGGGGGAGGTGGGCGGATCACTTGAGGTCAGGAGTTCGAGACCAGCCTGGGCAAGACAGTGAAACCCTGTCTCTACTAAAAATACAAAAATTAGCTAAGCGTGGTGGTGGGCACCTGTAGTCCCAGCTACTTGTAAGGCTGAGGCAGGAGAATCACTTGAATCTGGGAGGCGGAGGTTGCAGTGAGCCAAGATCACACCACTGCACTCCAGCCTGGGCGACAGAGTGAGACTCTGTCTCAAAAAAAGCAAAAACAAAAAGTCACCAAGAGACACATAGGAAATACCATATGAAGACAGAGGCAGAGGTAGTAAGAGTGATGTTTCCACAAGCCAAGAAATGACAGAGACCACCAGAAGTTGAAAGAGTCAAGGAATAATCCTCCCCTTAAACTTTTGGAGGGAGCAGGGCCCTATCATACCTTGATTTTGACTTCTGGCCTCCAGATGTATGAGAGAATAAACTTCTGTTGTGTTAAGCCACCTGGTTTGTAGAAATTTATTATAGAAGATTAATACAGGGCCATTGAATAAAATGGAGTATATTGAGAATCTATGATGAGTTAATTTTTCAGCAATCTGATGCTACAGATAGTTAATATTATCCCTAATGAGCAATAATCAAGCAGAATTGGACTGAACTAGGCCAAAAGGTTAGCGGTTAAGAGGGCAGGCTCTGGCCAAGCGCTGTGGCTCAAACCTGTAATCCCAGCACTTTGGGAGGCCAACATGGGTGGACCACATTGCCTGAGGTCAGGAGTTTGAGACCAGCTTGACCACTATGGTAAAACTATCTCTAATAAAAATGCAGGGCCGGGCGCGGTGGCTCAAGCCTGTAATCCCAGCACTTTGGGAGGCCGAGGCGGGTGGATCACGAGGTCAAGAGATCGAGACCATCCTGGTCAACATGGTGAAACCCTGTCTCTACTAAAAATACAAAAAAATTAGCTGGGCATGGTGGCGCGTGCCTGTAGTCCCAGCTACTCAGGAGGCTGAGGCAGGAGAATTGCTTGAACCCAGGAGGCGGAGGTTGCGGTGAGCCGAGATTGCGCCCTTGCACTCCCGCCTGGGTAAAAAGAGCGAAACTCCGTCTCAAAAAAAAAAAAAAAAAAAAAAAAAGCAAACATGGCCAGGCGTGGTGGCTCACTCCTGTAATCCAAGCGCTTTGGAGGCCAAGGCGGGCGGATCACCTGAGGTTGGGAGTTCAAGACCAGCCTGACCAACACGGTGAAACCCAATCTTTAAAAAAAAAATAAGCAAACATTAGCCAGGGGTGGCGGCGGGCACCCGTAATCCCAGCTACTCCAAAGGCTGAGACAGGAAAATAATTGTTTGAACCTGGGAGGCAGAGGTTGCAGTGAGCAACAGAGTGAGTGTCAAAAAAAAAAAAAAAAAAAAAAGAAAGGCAGGCTTTGTTTGAAGTCGCAGAATTAGGTTGGAGACCCCAGCTTTGGTACTTAGCAGGGTGACCTTAGGCAAGTGACTTTGCATCTTTGAGGTTGCCATATCTGTAAAATGAAAATAAGTAAGACCTTCTTATCAGGTTATTGGGAAAGACAAAGTTGTAAGGCCGATTGCCTTGCCGGGAGGTTGGACACACCCACGTCTGCACCCGGCACCAGGCTCTGCACTCAGCACCTAGCTGTGCCGCAGGACTCCCCTGGAAGGCTCCAGCTGATGCAAGGCTCCTGGCCGGCTCGCCCACCGGAAAACCCGCCCAACAACCCGCCAACCAATAGCGGCCCGCCCCGTCTCAATCCCGCTCCCCTGGAGTCAATCAGAGCACCCAGCTGTTGCTCGTTCCTCCTAGCCATAAAAACCCATGCCCCAGGAAGTTGGTGCGACTTCCCTGGCCCCTTTCCCTGGGACCATGGAAACTCGCCCGGAAGCTGAAGCTAAATAAATTGGCATTTAATTTTCTTATGCTGGTCTCGGTTTCCTCATTCTAAACTCGGCAATAACCCTTGCAAAAGTGAAATAAGGCATTTAAAAGCACTTAGCCAGCTGCCTGGCACATAGTAAAGGCTCAATAAAAGTGAGCCGGTTTGTATGACCAGAGCACATAGTAGCTCTACCCTACCATTAATTGAGTTAACTCAGTTAATCCCTATTACATGACCTGCAGATTTCCTTTGTTGTACCACCTGCAGTTACCTTCTTTATTGACTTATTGGCCGTCCTGCAAGCAGATAGAGACTGTAAGCCCCATGAGACAGGGGCACAGTCTCATTTATGGCTGGGTACTCAGGACCCTGCACAGAGCCTGGCTCAGGTTTATGAGATGAATGGGTAGGTGAATGGCTCGTGGATACTTTGTCTTAAAAGTATTAAATGAGGCCAGGTACTGTGGCTCACACCTGTAATCCCAGCACTTTGGGAGGCCAAGGTGGGCGGATCACGAGGTTAAGATATCGAGACCATCCTGGCCAACATGGCGAAACCCCGTCTCTACTAAAATACAAAAAATTAGCTGGGCGTGGTGGCACACACCTGCAGTCCTGGCTACTCAGGAGGCTGAGGCAGGAGAATTGCTTGAATCCAGGAGGCAGAGGCTGCAGTGAGCTGAGATTGTGCCACTGCACTCCAGCCTGGCGCCTGATGACAGAGCGAGACTTTGTCTCAAAAAAAAAAAAGTATTAAATAAAGACATGTTTAACCAATATCTTTCACTTTATTCCATCTTTGGTCTCAAATAACTACATCAGAATTCCTCTGCAATCCTCCTGCCACCAACAATTTCTCTTGTCAGCTGTTTTAGGCTACTCTGGGAGGAACCCAGCCTCCCTAACATGAAAAATGGGTACCCTGAGATCTATTTTATTTTATTTTTTTGAGACAGAGTCTTACTCTGTCGCCCAGACTGGAGTGTGGTAGTGCGATCTCAGCTCACCGAAACCTCCACCTCCCGGGTTCAAGCAATTCTCTTGTCTCAGCCTCCCAAGTAGCTGGGACTAGAGGCACCTGCCACCATGCCTGGCTAATTTTTGTCTTTTTAGTAGAGATAGGGTTTCACCATATTGGTCAAGCTGGTCTCAAACTCCTGACCTCAGGTGATTCACCTGCCTTGGCCTCCCAAAGTGCTGGGATTACAGGCATGAGCCACTGGGCCCAGCCCCTAGATCTTTAAAAGCATGGAGTTATATTCTAGCTGTGGTCAGTGGACTGGAATGTCAGCCTCATACCTGGCATATAGGAAGGGAATTTATATGTTATAGGGGTGTGGAGGAGGTAAGGGAGCTGAATTGGAGGGAGATGGGGAACAGTTTGGGGATGTATACAATCTTTGTGAATATCTTCCTTTTTCTTAGAGTTAGGCTGGACTAGGACGTTGCCTGCTTCAAGCAGCACCCCCAGGACTGCTGCTGGAAGGACGTCAGAGGTTCAAAAAATTTTCTGAAGATTTTTATGTCTCAAGGTATCCCAGCCTCCTCTGTATTTCCAGGAACCTAAGGTTATAGGGGCTGTGGGTGGGGATTATTAGGATATCAGAGAGGGTCCTCACCCAAACAACATGATGCCCTGAACTGAAGGCTTGTCGTTTATCTCTGAAAGAAGCAAGTCAACACCCTTGATCCTCATCACAGCATAATTCTTGGTCCTTAGTGGCAAGGGTGACCTGAAAATGGGGCCTTTCATAGCTCCGGAGCCAAGGAGGCCTTGACAATTAGGCAGGAAGAAGACCTGGCTGTCCATCCCATCTGATACCCTGACTTCCCAAGAGGACAATCCATTCTTCTCAGATTTCTCCCAAATCCCCCATTGCTGGACCTGGAGGCTCTCTCTGGCTCCTGTGATCTCTGGAGGATGCAGGCACGAAGCCTGACCTGACTCTTACTGAGCCTGTCCCAGGCCCTTTGCGTCTCGCTCACCTGGCTACTCCTCGTGGGCCCTACCCATCCAACAGACTGCACAGGTAGGCATGGCCAGGTTGCCTTCCAGGAGTCAGTCCCAACACTCATCAGCAAAAAGGGATCTGTGTCTAGGTGCCTGAGGCTGGTCCAAGTAGGATGAGAGTGCCAAGACCCCTCTCTCTCCTCCTGGGAGTGAACTGGTTTCTGACTTGATTTGTTTAAATTGGGAAGACGCCTCATCAGCAATGGGAGCGGTCTAGATCTCTGGAATCTGGCCACGGAGTGATTTTCCCATCAGCCTCTGTCTCTGTGACTGAGGACCTTGCGGCTTCTTCTTTTGCCTCTGACCCAAGGTCCCTCATGCACTTCTTCCAGCGTGCCAGGCAGTGATGGGCAGAGGAGCGGATTTCCCCACTCCGCAGAGCATAGATGACAGGGTTGACCATGGAGTTGACAAGGCACAGCATGGAGCAGAAGGCGAAGGCCTTCTTGACCTGGTCGCTGAGTGTAGCAGCCAGGCTGTGGACCATGAGGGCCAGCACTGGGAACCAACAGATGAGGAGCACAGCCAGCACCAGCCCCAGGGTCTTCGCCAATCTCACGTCCAGCCTCATTCGGGCCATTCCTGGCACCTGCCTGTCCTGGTGCCCAGCCAAGCTGGCTACATGCTGATGGGCCTTCCAGAGAACATGTCCGTAGGTATAGATGATTCCAGAAAAGAGGAAGGCGATGAACAGGAGCCAGCCCAGCAGGTAGTCATTGGGGATCAGTGGGAAAAGCTCAGAGCAGGGCCTAGGACAGCAAGTCCATCCCATGAGGGGCAGGTAGGAGACTAGTGCTGAGAGGACCCACATGATGCCCAGGGTCACCAGTGCCCTCCCACGGGTGAGTAGAGCTTTGTAGGAAGGTGGGTAGCACAGGCAGAGGTAGCGGTCAACAGCGGTTAGCAGCAGGCTGCCCACAGAGGCTGTGAAGGTCATGGTCACGCTGCCAATCTTCAGCAGGAAGATAGCCTTGGAATCCATACCATGGAAAACATGGAAGTTCACAAAGCTGCATACAAAGACCACACTGGCCAGGAAGTCAGCTCCAGCCAAGCTGCCAATGAATAGGTATGAGGGCTTCCGGCGGAGCCGGTGGGAGGACAGGATCAGATAGAGCACAGCCACGTTCTCCAGGGCACTTAGCAGGCCCAGAAGAGTGCACAACACTGCAACAGCTATCTTCTGGGGACCACTCAGGATCATGTAATCCTTCATAGGGTTGGAGTCCAAGCCATCCATGGAGCCATTGGCTACCTCTGTCACCCAGCATCCCTCCATGGGATGGGCCCTTCAGATTCCACTGAGCTTGTCTAGAAGGCTTTGCTGCAGTACAATGAGAAGAAAATAATCTTTTTCAGTAAGCACAAGAATGATCTCACCTGATAACTGACTGTAGCCAAACTGCTACCTATATGGATGGATTCTATGTTTGAAAATCAGTTTCTGTTTTGTTCCCCTGTATTTTGCCCTTTCTCCATCCAAGCGGGAAGCCAGATCTGTCCTGGCTGCCTCAGGGGAAGGTATGTAAGAATGCAACAAGCAGAAATGACCTGTAAATTTTTTGGCCTTTTGTTTTCCAAAAGACTAATCCTAAGACTTCCTTTTGAAGCAAGGGAAATCCCAAACGGTCAAAACCAAGAAGAAATAGAATCAGAGTGATAAGGTTGAGGTTTTTTCTTTTTTACATTTTGTTTTGTTTATTTGCCAATTTTGGGAAGTAAAGTACTGAAGTACTATATGGGGATGGGAAATATTAATTTGGCTTCATACTAAGTGATGGGAAGATAAACTACGGAAGATTAAACAATTTTATTTATTTATTTATCATTTATTTATGTATTTGAGACAGAGTCTCACTCGGTTGCCCAGGCTAGAATGCATGGCGCTATCTTGGCTCACTGCAATTTCCGCCTCCTGGGTTCAAGTGATCAAGTGATTTTCTTGCCTCAGCCTCCTGAGTAGCTGGGATTATAGGCGCACACCACCATGACTGGCTAATTTTCGTATTTTTAGTAGAGACAGGGTTTCACCATGTTGGTCAGTCTGGTCTGGAACTCCTGATCTTGTGATCTGCCCACCTCAGCCTCCCAAAGTGCTGGGATTACAGGCGTGAGCCACCGCGCCAGGCCTATTTACTTATTTTTGAGACAGAGTGTTGCTTTGTCACCCAGGCTGGAGTGCAGTGGCATGATCTAGGCTCACTACAACCTCCGCCTCCCAGGTACAAGTGATTTTCCTGCCTCAGTCTCCCGAGTAGCTGGGACTACAGATGCCCACCACACCTGGCTAATTTTTGTACTTTTAGTAGAGGCCAGGTTTCTATAACTCGATCAAGACAGTTGCAGGTGGGCAAAAGAAAAAGACCAAAAAAAAAAAAAAAAAAAAAGCCAGGCATAGTGGCTCACGCCTGTAATCCTAATGCTTTGAGGTGGGTGGATCACCTGAGGTCAGGAGTTCAAGACCAGCCTGGCCATCATGGTGAAACCCCATCTTTAAAAAAAAAGAGACCAGGTTTCACCATGTTGGCCAGGCTGGTCTTGAACTCCTGATCTGAGGTGATCCACCCACCTCAGCCTTCGAAAATACTGGAATTACAGGCTTGAGCCACTGCGTCTGGCCAAAACATTTTATACTAGATAAAATATAGGAGCCCAGTTAAATCTGAATGTCAATAATAAGTAATTTTTTAGTCTATGTCTCAAATATTGAAGACAAAAACCCTCAGGAACCTAAATATTATATGGTTTGTTATTAGAAAGCAAACTAATCATTTATTTAGAGCAATTTACTTTATAAACAGGTTGCATAGGAGTACCACATATAAAGGTCTATGAAATTTGAGCTCACAATGCAAAATGCCTAAGAAAACATGAGCAGCCCAAGCATGGTGGCTCACACCTATAATCCCAGGACTTTGGGGGGCCAAGGTGGGCAGATCACTTGAGGTCAGGAGTTTGAGACCAGCCTGGCCAACATGAGGATACCCTATCTTAGAAAAAAAAAAAAAAAAAAGAAAACATGAGCAAGAGTTAGCAGAAACATCAGACAGTAGAATCACACTTTCAAGAACTTCGTATAATTCTTGGGTATACCTTATAAAAATATGTTTGACATGAAAACAATAAAGAATTAAAAACATGAGTACAGAATGAGAGATTGTTTCTGCGTAGATCTGAAAAAGATTCAGGTAGAATTTCTGGAAGTGAAAAATAAAATCATTGAAAAAGAAATCCTGGCTGGGCGCGGTGGCTCAAGCCTGTAATCCCAGCACTTTGGGAGGCCAAGGCGGGTGGATCATGAGGTCAAGAGCTCGAGACCATCCTGGTCAACATGGTGAAACCCCGTCTCTACTAAAAATACAAAAATTAGCTGGGCATGGTGGCGCGTGCCTGTAATCCCAGCTACTCAGGAGGCTGAGGCAGGAGAATTGCCTGAACCCAGGAGGCGGAGGTTGCGGTGAGTCGAGATCGCGCCATTGCACTCCAGCCTGGGTAACAAGTGCGAAACTCCGTCTCAAAAAAAAAAAAGAAATCCTTAAGGGATGAGTTAAAGAGCAAAACAGAACAATTGAAAAGCATTGATCTAGAAAGTAGATCTGTGGCTGGGCTTGGTGGCTCACGCCTGTAATCCCAGCACTTTCAGAGGCTGAGGCGGGTGGATCACCTGAGGTTAGCAGTTTGAGGTTAGCAGTTTGGCCTGGCTAACATGGTAAAACCCTGTCTCTAGTAAAAATACAAAAATTAGGCTGGGTTTGGTGGTTTATGCCTGTAATCCCAGCACTTTGGGAGGCCAAGGTGGGCGGATCATGAGGTCAAGAGATCCAGACTATCCTGGACAACACAGTGAAACCCCATCCCTACTAAAAATGCCAAAAAAATAGCTGGGTGTAGTGGTGTGTGCCTGTAGTTCCAGCCACTCGAGAGGCTCAGGCAGGAGAATTGCTTGAACCCAGGTGGCGGAGGTTGCAGTGAGTCAAGATTGCGCGACTGCACTCCAGCCTGGTGCCTGGTGACAGAGGAGACTCTGTCTCAAAGAAAAAAGATTAGCTGGGCATCGTAATAGATGCCTGTAATCCCAGCTATGCAGGAGGCTGAGGCAGGAGAATCACTTGAACCCAGGAGGCGAAGGTTGAAGTGATCTGAGATCCCACCACTGCACGCCAGCTTGGGCAATAATAGTGTAATTCCATCTCAAAATAAAAAAAGAAGATTGGAAGAAATTTCTCACAATGCAGAACAAGGAGAGGAAGGGATGGAAAATTAGAAAGAGAAGTTAAGATCCAGGAATGCTGATTTAGTATAGTGAACTTAAAAAAAAAAAGAGAGAGAGAGAGAGAAAAAAAAAAAAAGAAAAAGAAAGAGAAGTTAAGAAACACAAAGGATTGAATAAAAAGCTTTATATCTCAGTGGAATGTTAGCATGGATAAATAGAGAAAATTGGTGGTGGGCAGTAGTTAAAGAGACAGTAGAAAAGAATTATCCATCCAGCCTGGGAAACATGGGAAAACCCCATCTCTACAAAAAAAAATAAAAATTAGCTGGGCATGGTGGTGCATGCCTGTAGTCTCAGCTACTTGGGAGGCTGAGGTGGGAGAATTATCTGAGCCCAGGGAGGTCAAGGCTGCAATGAGCCATGATCATGCCATTGGACACCAGCCTGGGCAACAGGATGAGACCCTGCCTCAATAACAACAAAAAGAATTATTCAGGATCCATGAGAAATATGACTATTCAGATTTAAAAATCACAGAGAACCCCAAGCAGAATTTTTTTTTGGGACAGAGTTCCCAGGTTCAAGTGATTCTCCAGCCTCAGCCTCCTGACATAGCTGGGGCTACAAGTGTGTGCCACCATGCCCAGCTAACTTTTGTATTTTTAGTAGAAATGAGGTTTTGCCATAGTGGCCAGGCTGGGCTTGAACTCCTGGCCTCAAGTGACATGCCCACCTTGGTCTCCCAAAGTGCTAGGATTACAGGTGTGAGCCACCATGCCAAGCCCCAAGCAGAATTTTAAAAAACATATTCCACATTCATGTATATCATATAGCATACATATCAGAATACCAAAGACAAAAATATAAGGCAGTAAGATTGAAAAGACAAATGACCTGTAAAAGAAGTATAATTAATTTAATTTAATTTTATTTTATTTTATTTTTTTTGAGACAGAGTTTCACTCATGTTACCCAGGCTGGAGTGCAATGGAGCGATCTCGGCTCACCGCAACCTCCGCCTCCTGGGTTCAGGCAATTCTCCTGCCTCAGCCTCCTGAGTAGCTGGGATTACAGACACACACCACCATGCCCAGCTAATGTTTTTGTATTTTTTTAGTAGAGACAGGGTTTCACCATGTTGACCAGGATGGTCTCGATCTCTTGACCTCATGATCCACCCGCCTCGGCCTCCCAAAGTGCTGGGATTACAGGCTTGAGCCACCGCGCCCGGCCAAGAAGTATAATTAATTTTAAAAGAAGATTTCTGAGTAGCAGCAATAGAAGCCAAAAGATAAAGAGAAAACTCAGTCTAGAATTTTATACCTAGCTAAACTATCATTCAAGAATGAGGTCTAAAAAATTTTAAAGAAAATCATTTACTAACAAATCTTCACTGAAGCATCATCTAAAGATGTGCATTTTAGAAGGAACTTCAACCCAAAGGGAAGAGAAGAAGAATAGCTAGCAAGTAAGTTGACGAATATATAAGTAAAGAAAAGCAAATGCTTTCATAAATTGACAATGATAATAGTAAGTAATTTAGAGGGTATGAAAACAAAGTGGAGACTCAGGCACAGTGGCTCACACCTGTAATCCCAGCACTTTGGGAGGCCGAGGCAAGTGGATCATGAGGTCAGGAGTTCGAGACCAGCCTGGCCAACACGGTGAAACCCTGTCTCTACTAAAAACACAAAAATTAGCTGGGCATTTTGGTGCACACATGTAGTCCTAGCTACTCAGGACACAGAGGCAGGAGAATTGGTTAAACCTGGGAGGCAGAGGTGGTAGTGAGCCAAAATCACGCCACTGCACTCTAGCCTGGACAACAGAGTGAGACTTCGCCTTAAAAAAAAAAAAAAAAAAAAAAAACAAAAACCCAAAGTAGAGACTGGGCACAGTGGCTCATGCCTGAAATCCTGGCACTTTGGAAGTCCAAGGCAGGAGGATTGCTTGAGCCCAGGAGTTCAAGACCAGCTTAAGAAGCAACATGGCGGCCGGGCGCGGTGGCTCAAGCCTGTAATCCCAGCACTTTGGGAGGCCGAGGCGGGTGGATCACGAGGTCAAGAGATCGAGACCATCCTGGTCAACATGGTGAAACCCCGTCTCTACTAAAAATACAAAACATTAGCGGGGCATGGTGGCGCGTGCCTGTAATCCCAGCTACTCAGGAGGCTGAGGCAGGAGAATTGCCTGAACCCAGGAGGCGGAGGTTGCGGTGAGCCGAGATCGCGCCATTGCACTCTAGCCTGGGTAACAAGAGCAAAACTACGTCTCAAAAAAAAAAAAAATCACTGATGCATGCAGAAACATTTTGTATAGACATAAGAGTAAAAGGGAAGTGAGAGTCTCTCTCAACCTACTCTGAGCTGCCTGATTAAAAAAGAAAAAAGACCAAGTTCAGTGGCTCACGCCTGTAATCCCAGCACTCTGGGAGGCTGAGGCAGGTGAATCACTTGAAGTCAGAAATTTGAGACCAGCCTGGCCAACATGGTGAAATTTTGTCTCTACTAAAATTACAAAAGTTAGCTGGGAGTGGTGGCAGGTGCCTATAATCCCAGCAACTCGGGAGGCTGAGGCATGAGAATCACTTGAATCCAGGAGGCAGAGGTTGCAGTGAGCCAAGATTGCACCACTGCACTCCAGCCTGGGCAGTAGAAGCAGACTGTCTCAAAGAAAAAAAAAAAAGAAAGAAAAGAAAGTGAACCACCATGACCAAGTGCTTTCTTCACCTAACAAAAATACCACTGTGCAGAAACCACGTGTTGTCACTTTCCACAGGGGGCATCCAAGGTGGGGTTGGGTTGGTGTTAGGGGCTATAGCCTGGAGCTTGGATCAAATCGAGCATCTGGGAAGGGAACCTTGGGACCTGAGAAAACTGCTCAGAAAAAGATGTGCCTGGGGTTTTTTCTAACCTGAAGTGAAAGTGTGAAGTGAAAGAAGCCACAGTAGCAGCTGGCCCCCCGTTGCTGCTGTGTTTAAATCTCTCGGAGCTGGAGGCAAGGAGGAGAATGATGCCCTGCCTGTGGTACCACACATGCAATTCGAAGCTGAGATTGGATGCCACAGCTTCATCGCTTTTTTTTTTTTTTTTTTTTTGAGACGGAGTTTCACTCATATTACCCAGGCTGGAGTGCAATGGCGCAATCTCGGCTCACCACAACCTCCGCCTCCTGGGTTCAGGCAATTCTCCTGCCTCAGCCTCCTGAGTAGCTGGGATTACAGGCACGCGCCACCATGCCCAGCTGATTTTTTGTAGTTTAGTAGAGACGGGGTTTCACCATGTTGACCAGGATGGTCTCGAGCTCTTGACCTCGTGATCCACCCGCCTCGGCCTCCCAAAGTGCTGGGATTACAGGCTTGAGCCACTGCTCCCGGAGCTTCATCGTTTTTATCTCCAGCTGGGAATAGGGAGCTCTAGGTTCTAGTGCTTGTCCTGCTACCGAGTGACTTTGGGCAGGTCGCTTCTCCTATCTAAGGCCTTTCTTTTCTTTTCTTAATTTTTATTAAAAAATTGTAGATAGGGTCTTGCTATGTTGCTCAGGCTGGTCTCAAACTCCTGGCTTCAAGCAGTCCTTCCCCCTCAGCTTCCCAAAATATTGGCATTATAGACATGAGCCATCTTGTCTGAACATCTGGGCCTTTCTTTTCTCATTTTCAAAGCAGCTGGGTTGATGGGGTGATTCCCAAGGTCTCCTCCAGGAAACTTAGCAAGTTGGATGATAATGTTACAGGTTTGGGAACCAGACCTTCCTGGATTCAAATTCAGCTCTGCAACTTTCAGGCTGTGTGACGTTGGGCAAGTTACTGCACCTCTCTGAGCCTCCGTTTCGTTCATTTGTAAACTGGAAGAGATACTATCCATATCACATGATCATACAGATAATGATAGAAGTTTACCAAATTCATGGCACTGTGCCTGGTTTGCAGTGGTATCTAATCAAAGGCAGGAGATGCTTAATAGAGTTAGTTTATAGGATTCTTACAGGATTCTGTGCCAGGCATGGTGGCTTAGGCCTGTAATCCCAGCACTTTGGAAGGTGGAGACAGGTGGATCATTTGAGCCCAGGAATTCAAGACCAGCCTGGCCAACATAGCAAAACTCTGCCTCTACAAAAAATACACAACTTAGCTGGGTACAGTGGTGCATGTCTGCAGTCCCAGCTACTTCAGAGGCTGAGGCAGGACAATCATTTGAGCCCAGGAAGTTAAGGCTTCAGCAGGCAGTGATTGTGCCACTTTGCTCCAGCCTGGCTTACAGAGTGAGACCCTGTCTGAAAAAAAAAAAAAAAAAAAATGAGGCCAGGCACGGTGTCTCATACCTATAATCCTAGCACTTTGGGAGGCTGAAGTGGGCAGATCACAAGGTCAGGAGTTCGAGACCAGCCTGGCCAATATGGTGAAACCCCATCTTTACTAAAAACACAAAAATTAGCCAGGCATGGTGGCAGATGCCTGTAGTCCCAGCTACTCAGGAGGCTGAGCCAGGAGAATCACTTGAACCCTGGAGGCGGAGGTTGCAGTGAGCCGAGATCGTGCCACTCACTCCAGCCTGGGCAACAGAGTGAGACTCTGTCTCAAAAAAATCAAAAAAGAAAAGAAGGAAAAAAAAGCATTCTGTGCTCCAGTCATGCCTGACCTTTGCCCGAGAGCTGAGGCAGATGGAACAATCCCTACTTAATTTCAGCTGATACTTTACCACCACTGAGGACAAATCATCACATTTTGCAAAACCTGTTCAACTTGCAAGAATGACCCATCAGAAATAGACCAAGGAGGCCCTCTTGACCTGCTCCCCAGCTGGCTGGGCCCCTGCTTCTGTGTCCAGTCATAGGAAGGGTGTCATGGGGCTTTCCTTTCACATTTCTTCTCCTAGTTCCCCTCTGTTCTTCTTCTTCTTCTTTTTTTTTTTTTGGAGAAAGATTCTTTTTCTGCTGCCCAGGCTGGAGTGCAGTGGGGTGATCTCAGCTCACTACAACCTCGACTTCCTAGGTTCAAGTGAGTCTCATGCCTTGGTCACCCAAGTAGCTGGGATTACAGGCGTGAGCCACCACACCTGGTTAATTTTTGTATTTTTAGTAGAGACAGGGTTACCACGTTGGCCAGCCTGGTCTCGAACTCCTGACTTCAAGTGATCTGCCCACCTCAGCCTCCCCAAAGTGTTGGGATTACAGGTGTGAGCCACTGTGCCTGGCCTCCCTCTGTTGTTTGTAACTCTTTTTTTTTTAAAAGACGGGGTTTCACCATGTTGGTCAGGCTGGTCTTGAACTCCCGACCTCAGGTTATCTGCCCACCTTGGCCTCCAAAGTGCTTGGATTACAGGCGTGAGCCAACACGCCCAGCCTGTTGTTTGTAACTCTTGATTGCAGTTGCAATAAAGTTTTTCTGGAGTTTGGGGCTGTAGACTATGGGTTTTTTTTGCCCCAGTCTTTGTTTGTGTGTGTGTGTGTGTGCGTGTGTGAATCCATGAATACCGAAAACACAAGTCAGGCTGGGCGTAGTGGCTCATACCTGTAATCTCAGCACGTTGAGAGGCCAAGGCGGGTGGATCATCTGAGGTCAGGAGTTTGAGGCAAGCCTGGCCAACATGGTGAAACTCCGTCTCTACTAAAGATACCAAAAAAAATTAGCTGAGTGTGGTGATGGGTGCCTGTAATCCCAGCTACTTGAGAGGCTGAGGCAGAAGAATCTCTTGAATCCGGGAGGCAGAGGTTGCAGTGAGCTGAGATCACGACAGTGCACTCCAGCTTGGGCAAGAAGAGCAAAACTCTGTCTCAGAAAAAAAAAAAAAAAAAAAGAAAGCCCAAATCTTACCTCTTTTTATATCTACTTTGATATCAAAAGCCACCTCCTCCAAGAAGCATCCTCTGGTCTCCCCTTGTTGAGTCCTACCGCACAGAACTGTCTACCTCGTATTATTTGTGTCCATTCCACATCTTGCTTCCTGGACTGTGAGTCTGGGAGTGGAGTCATCTTTGTATCGCACTTGCCCTGAAAAGTGTCTTAGCACAATGTCAGGCTCACAGTAGACTCTCGGTGGAGGTCTTTTGATGAGGAGCCAGAGCTGAGCAGAGCAGTCTTGGGGAGGTGAAACTCAGCCCAGCCAGGCAAGGCAATTCGACGGCCTCAGGCTCCCACTCCTCAATCCCAAGCCCATGGCAGACACTTCTCCTTACTCCAAGTCCTCGTGCCCCCTGAACCTCACCATGGTTCTCACCCTAGTGCTCCTGGCCTGGAGAACCAGACTTGCAGAAAGAGATTGGAACCACAAGCAGCCCTGAAGCAGACTGTGAACTAGAAGGATGGTGCCTGCCCAGGCTCTTGACCTTGTGAACAGAGCACCAGGACAGTCACTTCTAAAATGGGTTTGGCAGGGGAGGTGGGACAGCACTGGGCAGCGAGGGAACTTAAAGTCTCTCTAGCAATATAGGTCCCAGGGGAGGTTTATTGATGGAAGGCAAAATAGGGAAGCTTTCCTAGAGGAGAGATGAAAAGGGCTGCCAAAGGGGTTGTTTCCTGAGTCAGTTCCTTTAATAAATTCCTCCTGGGGTTTCCAGCACCCGAACTGGAATGAAACCTGGCACAAAGTAAGCACTTAAATATTTAAAATGGATTTATGGAATCCATGAATGTCTATTAGGAGAAAAGCAGGCTTCTTCAGACCCACTTTAGTGCTGCTTTTTCCTTTGGCTGCCAGCAAGCCCAGAGCTAAATGCAGTGTGGAAGTGCAGCTACAGGGCCATTCAAGGTTAGTTCCTGATTTATTTATTGCTCCTTTTAGTGGTTTCTTTTTTTTTCTTTTGGTGACAGAGTTTCGATCTGTTGCCCAGGCTGGAGTGTAGTGGCACAATCTCGGCTCACTGCAACCTCCACCTCCTGGGTTCAAGAGATTCTCCTGCCTCAGCCTCCAGAATAGCTGGGATTACAGGAAAGCACCACCACGCCCAGCTAATTTTTTTGTATTTTTAGTAGAGCCAGGGTTTCAGCATGTTGGTCAGGCTGGTCTCGAACTCCTGACCTCATGATCCACCTGCCTCGGCCTCCCAAAGTGCTGGGATTACAGGCGTTAGCCACGGCGTCCGGCCCCTTTTAGTGGTTTCTAATGCTTTGCTTTTATTTTGACTGCCCCAATTTGTGATGTAGGCACCTCCAGTCCTTTTAGGAAAGAATGTGTAGGCTGGGCATGGTGGCTCACACCTGTAATCCCAGCACTTTGGGAGGACGAGGTGAGAGGATCATTTGAGGTCAGGAGTTCGAAACCAGCCCAGCCAACATGATGAAACCCCATTATTACTAAAAATACAAAAATTAGCTGGGCATGGTGGTGGGTGCCTATAATCCCAGCTTCTTGGGAGGCAGGCAGGAGAATCACTTAAACTTGGGAGGTGGAGGTGGCAGCGAGCAGGGATTGCGCCATTGCACTCCAGCTTGGGCGACAGAGTAAGACTCTGTCTCAAACAAACAAACAAACAAAAAACGAAAGAATGTCTGATTTATAGGTTAAGATCAAAGGATTCTTATTTAGGTCTCCTCTATGGTTCCCTTCTCAAATGTCTATGGGTTATCAAAGAAACTCAGTCTTCCCTGTGGGGCTGATGGATTCCATCCTCAGCCTGCTATCCACTTAGCATTCATCACCCCCATCCAGGCTGTCTCGATTCATTCATTCTCCCTGGACCTTCCCTGGACCTTCCTTCTCCATCATCAATTCCAGCCTGCCTCCTGGGCAAAGCTGAGCTAAATGATGTCTAAGGTCTCCTTCCACTTTAGTCAAGGTTAAGTGCCAAGGCTTTAGAGCGAAACATCACTGGGTTCAAATCTCAGGTCAGCCACTGATAGGTTGTGTGACCTTGGGGAAAGTTACTCAAACTCTCTGAGCTTCAGTTTCTTCCTCTGTGAATGGGAAAACTAATCCCTATATTCTGTATGTGCAGATTAAATAATTATTTAAAACTAATTAAGCAGGAGCTTGGTTGCCTGAGTGAATTATCAAGAGTGTTGGATGTGGTGGAGAGAAAAGGGTCCCGAGTTCGGAATCAGGTGCTCAGGGTTTGAGCCCTGGCACTGGCACCACCTGGCTCTATTGAGAAGCCACCTACTCTCTCTTGTCCCAATATTGCCATTTGAAAAGAAGATTGGGGGATACTGATGAGTGCTTGGCACTTTCTACACATTAACTCATTTAAATCTCAAACAACCCTGCAAGAATCTTACTGTTATTATTTTCCATATTTTATAGATGAAG